TTCCTTCTGCTCCTCCAGCTTGCCTCCTGGAGCTGCTCCAGCATGCACTGTGATGTTACAGCTGCCACGTGGCTCTTAGCAGTGCACAAACCTAGCTCAAGGCTTTAAACAGGGTTTTACAGTCCTGCAAAGCACCTTGCTTCTGAAGCTATGAGCTGCCTTCACTCTTCAACAAAGCTGTGCCAGTTTGGTGCAATGTGTGCTCAGGCATCCTTGGGTGGTCGGTTTGGGCAACTTACTGTCCTGCCCTGGTTAGGGGAAGGCACCAAACCCATTCTCCCAAAATAATCATCATCTCCTTTAATTCCATTTGGATAAGAAAGGAAACAAACTAAAACAAACCAATACCTTTCTATTGATGAGTAAATATGCTTTGCCTATTGCTGCTGCTCACAGGCTAGCAGTAAGCAGATACAAATTTCTGTAATCTGCCCCATCTTCAATCACTGCTGCGTCCTGCAAGACTACACAAATGAAGGTGGTGGACCAGCACTCCTTTGTTGGTAGCCCCATGGCTGTACTCATGTGGGTAAAAGCTGCTGAGGAGACTCTCCTATTTAAATTTAGGGGAACTGTCATTTTCAGATTAAATAGTCCTTTGGTCTCTCCTGCCTTAAAAGAGTGAACTTATTGATAATGAGAACAAAATATACTGGACCTGGAGGTCCATGAGGATAAATATTTGAGAAGAAGGAGATCTTGCAATTTAAATCCCAGAATCTGTCAGGGAGGTGTGCAGTGCCTACTGTATGCTTTGACAACAAGAGGTAATACCTTTTTCTTCCCAGTGAGTGATGATGAAGCAAGATCTCCTTGTGTTCTGGAGCAGCAGGTTGGCTCAGGTGGAAAGTCTCTAGTTAGGAAGCAGATCTGCTAAGGAGATTTAACAAGCGTTGGTTTGGGTGACAGGCTGGGTTGGCAACACTGATAGCCATGGTGGGTGGGATCATGGGGTGCTGGGATCTGAACAGTGCACATATTTAACCTCTTTCTTTCCTCTGTTTTCCAGGGATAATTCAAGCTTTCGAAACACAAAAATCACATTGTGAGAACAAGAGTTGGCACTAAGCTCCTCTCTCCGTGTTGACAGCACTGAGAGGTTTCCACCAGTGCTCTCTGACCTCTGAAGGGACTCATGGGCCACTCTCGCACTCCTTCTCGGAGGAAGGATCCATCTGAAGCCCTCCAGCAGTGGTGATGATAGAGGCTGATTTTGTCATACACAAACTTTTTTAGCAGCGGGGCGGGAGGCCAACCTTTCGATTAGCAGTGTGCCCTTGGGGCCGCATCTTGCAGCACTTTCCTCTCTTTCTGTACATGGCATGCAGGATCTCTGGGATTCTGCCTTGATGTCAGAGTCTTTCGCTGAGGGATACCAGTATTATAAATCTCTCTGCAGCTGGGAGGAGCTTCCCAGTTGAGAGTCAGCCCCATGGTTTTCAAATGCCCACTTTCAGCTCTGCCAATAAATTATTGGGTCTCTTTGTTTCTTTCAGTCTTTTTTTTCTTCTGCTTTGTCTAAAATAGTGACGTGGTACTTCTCTAGCCTGCAGTGAAGCCCTAGGGCTGTTTCTGATAGCTCCATCTTTCCCTCAGCTAGCCACCTCCATGACCCTTAGCCCTGCAGCAGCAAAGCACTCCGAATGCCAGGGTGGTCAAACTTCATTGTACTGGGGGAGTTTTGTGGACACGCAGTAGTGCAATGGTTCATTTGAAGAATTAGATGATTACTTTGTCTTTGCTTCTTCATATTCCCTGGTTAGCAGTGCCTTGCACCCAGCCTTCCATGTTTGGGAGAGGGCTGCAAGCTGCCTATAAACTAGGACAAAGAGGTATTTGGTGTCACTTGATTGCTGTACTCCAGCCATCTCACTGGAGAACCATCAGGAGTGGGTGAATGTGGGGCTGTGCATGCTTTTGTAGGCAGCTGGGCTGGGGTGTGCTGTTGTTTGTGAGTCTCCAGCCATCTGCGAAATGGACTCCAGTGGCTGTAGTGAAAGAGGGTGATGGCCTGGACTGCTGCTTGGAGCTGCATGGAAGCTGTGACCCCCTGTCTCCTGTGCTCTGGGGTAAGGCTGGACTGATGTGTTGCTGCTTGGGAAGCCAGCATGGCTGCAATTCAGATGCCACGGAAACAATAGGAGCTAATTATTTCCTCTGATTCTGCTTGACTACAACACTAATTGTACTCATTAACAGCTTTAGCCTTTCCCCTCTTCCTTAGGGAATCGCACAATTGCCTTTCATTTTTAATAGAGCCTTTGCATGGGCCTGAGGGGGAGGCTGCGGCCAGAGCTGGGGCACACCTCCTGCCCTATGCTCTCTGCACAATCCCCCAGGAGAAGGGGCTCTGGGACCTGCAGAACCAGCAGCCTGTGTCTGGGACAAGTTCTGGCCTTGGGGCCTGGGAGACCTTCAGCCTCATGTCTTCAAATTGCAAATTCCATGTTATTATTGAAGTCTAGACTGAAAGCAGCCAGGACCAGCAGAGAAGACAGCCTGAAATAATTCAATCTTCTGAAGGGCTTGTTTTCCGCATTGAGGGTTTCGGTCCCAGGCGGTCTCTGGAAGCATTCAGTGCAGTGACAGCGATGACTAACTGCCCCCTGCGGCCACCTCCCCACGGCCATGCAGCTTGTACCTCCTGGCATCTGCCTGGGCAGGGGGGAGAGGCCATTTCCCTGACTGTGGCATCGCTCTTTGTGTTTCTTAAGACCCCACAGCCCTGTTTCTGTTCTTGCCACTCGTTTTCCACCAGCTTTCAACCAAATGATCTTTCACAGGCGCAGTTTGTTTTCCCCACTGTGATCAGGTACTACTACAGCTGCTACTTAAAATTCCTTTTAAATACAGCTCTCCCCTGCTGCTCTCTGGTATTTGTTAGGGGGATTTAGTTGTAATTACATTTTAGCAATCTAAGCAAAAATAGCCTTGCAAGGCAAGGCTGAAATACTAGCTGCAGGCTCCTTTCATCCACAGTGCATTTAGCTCCTTGCAGATGACATCACTTAGGGCTTGAGTCCTGTTGTTTTGCCCAGCTGTGCGTCGCGTCCACCTCTGCTATTTCATGTACTCGCCCACTTCTTGCCTCTGATACCCTGTGTCTAAGCTGGGCTGATGAGTGCAGGCTTGCTATTAAATCTGAAAACGCTGCAGTCCTGCTGTGCTTGCCCTTAAATAATCATTGCAAGGAAAATGCAGAAGAGCCCTTCCCTGGGGCTGTTCTTTCCTTCCTGCTGTCACTGTGGTGGAGGTTTGGAGGAACCCAGGCACTGGTTCCTGTTAGTTGAGGAGTGAGCTGAGTCCTGCTAGTATGAGTGGTGAAAAGATGGTCATAATTTGTTTGGGAGGGGAAGGAACCTGTCGTTCTCGAGCAAGGGCTTCACAGCTTCATTCAGGAAGCAAGCCTGTGTAGGAGCCCCAGATCTGTGCTGAGTCATGACCTTCCCTGCTCTCATCTTCGAGGCTTTGTCCACCCTTAAGCTTGCCCAGATCTCTGTGCAGCAGCCTTTGAGTAAACCACCAGTGCCTGGAACTCCTTCAAGCCATGGAGTCATTGCCAGGTCTTTGCTTTCCCTGGGCAGGGGATGCTGGGCTGTGCCAGGCTGTGAACTTTGGCTGTCTGGGTACAGCTAGTCATATGGGGGCTGATGGCTGAGTTGGGGGTTCAGAGAATAATGGTGGGAGCTTATGGGGTGTTTCCAATCTGGAACCAAGGAGGAAAACTGCTTCCTGACTCAGAAAGAGGTGAAAAGAATCCCTGATTTTGGAGGTGGAGCAGGTGAGTAGTGGTAGGCAGGGGGAGATGTTGCCCTTATTAGTGCTTCTTGATGGGGCACATGCACCTGGGGTTGGTGCTGGGCTGGAGGAGATTTTTCCCTTTTGCAGCACATGCTGTGCAAGCTCTGGGCAGGGTGACCTGCAAAGTGTTCCTCCACCAGAGCTCATCAATGCTGCTCCTCCTTAGGGAGAGAAAGCCCAGGGGCTGGGATGTGCCTAGTGCTATGGCTTAGGCAGCTGAGATCAGCTCCTGTCCCTCGTAGGGCTGGCGGCATTTGGCCAGGGCACTCCCATCCTTCCAGCCACCCTGGGCCTGGTGATAGCACATCAATGTGCGTGGCTATGGGGGCACAGGGGCAAAATGAGGCCACGTTGCTGTGCCTCTCTGCTGGTGACACGTACTGCCTGCCAGCGTTCCCAAGCTGGCTCCCGCACCCCCCCTGCCAGCAGGGACAAAGCTGCAGGTCCCAGGGGTCAGGGAGGAGCGGGGGGAGAGGGGATGTGACACTGTGGGGGCAGGGGGAAAGGACTGTGCTCAGTACATGAGATGAGGCACTGAAGTGCTGCTTGTAATAGCACCATTCCCAAAGAATATTTGGGTGCTCTGTTCTTTTCACTCAAAGCCACTTGCTGGAGCTTGCCAGGGAGCAACAGCAGCTGAATTGCTGTGGCTGGCATACAAGTGGAAGGAGGAATTGCCTGTTCTCACCTGCGGCCCCATTGCTGCCCCATTGCCACCACGGCTGTGGGGATACGAGGGCCTGCATTTGCCCACAGCATTGAGGCTGTGGATTTGCGGGGGGCAATGCGAACCTCACTGCTGGCAGATCTTGCAGTGCATGGCCCATCAGATGCCCAACTCTGCTCTGGTTCCCCCTTCTCCCACCCCTCAGTGCCTCCATGGAGTGCTGCGTGGCTTAAAGGTCTGTAGCACCGTCCCTGTCCCCAGTTAAGTGCGACCCTCAGGGTCATGCCAGGGCTGTCCAAAGAGAGTAACCACACCAATGGGTACAAAGATGGTCAGGAGCTCGTGAGACCACCACGGGCTTTACTTCTGCTTTCAGCACTACCACAGCCACCCCATGCTCCATTCACCACTCTTGGCATTGAGAGTTAGGTCTGGGGACCCCCGGATTCTGCCATTTGGACCTGTCACGGGGGCAGGTACGTCTTGGGGTCCCCAGGGAAGGGCAGGGCAGGCGCCTTGTTGAAGTGAGCCATGAGGAAAATGCCAATGGTGCCGCACACAAAGAGCGAAGCCATGATGAAGAAGCAGACGCGGTCGATCACTCTCCCCACCAGGATCCACTCCTCGTTCTCCTGTTGGCTCATACCAAGGTGATGATGAGGGCCCATCCCACCGCCCCCAGCCCTTCTGTGCCACGTGCCCCCAACTCACGCTGCTGAAGTCATTCTGCTCCCGCGTGGCATTGGCAATGTGGTTGCAGGCCTCAACGCACGCCCGGATCTCAGGGCTCGCCTCCTCCAGGCTCTGGCAGAAGTCCTGCGCACAGTTGTTCTCCAGGCCACGTCCTACATGACCCAGCATCACTCAGTGCATTGGTAAGTGCCTCACATCCCTGCCCAGGTGCTACTCACTCACCAATCTTCTCCAGCACGGTTTTCATCAGTCCATCTCTCTCCTTCTGCTTCTCAAAGAGAAGCTCAGTCCGGGCTTTCCATAGCATATACTCATCGGCTTTCACCATCAGCCCCAGGGAACTGCGTCGCCGGGTGGCTGGCGGCGGCCCTGGGGCCTCCTCTGGCATGTGCATGCCCAGGTAGCGGGGCAGGAGGTGCAGCCACACCTGGGAACATGGACATGACCCACCCAAATTGCCCAGGTTTGATTATGTTCCCCCTGCTGGGGAGCATCCCATTAGGGTACACTCGTGCCCATGGGCAACTACTGCTCCCCAGTGTTCAGTAGCTTGGTGGTTCTGTATGGTCCCCTGGGGACGTGTAGGGGTCCCCAGTCAGCAGGGAGGACCAGAGATACTGACCCCATTTCCCACGGGGCAGGAGAATGGAGACAGTTACCTGGCGCACCCTCTGCGACATGGAGTGAGTGTTGGGTGTTCTCAATGAGACGTTGAGGACGATGACAGCATTCACCACAATCACCACTGTCACTACCATGAGGAAGGTCAGGTACCTGGGGAGGGAACATGGGGCCTCAGCAAGCAGTGCAACCACTGGATTACAAGCTGTGATAAGTCCATTTTGATACCAAAAGAAACTGGAGATTAGCAGGGGGACATGGACATGTGATAGCCCTATGCCAGCCCTGCACATGGAGGGATGGGATGTAGCTGTCTGTGAGCCCTGGTTCCCTCTCCCCTGTCTGCCTAGAGTATGGGCAGACTGGAGATGGTTTCCACCTGCCCGTGGCACCTGGAGACCTGCTGGCGTGGTGCTCCCCATCCCCTTGCATCACTTACTTCCCGATGAGTGGCACTGCCTGGGAGGTCTCGGGCACCTTCTGGGCAATGAGGAAGAGAAAGACAGTCTGGGCCAGAAGGACGTTGATGGAGACGGTGCACTTCTGCCCCCCCGCTGACAAAGCAAAGGGTAAGGTTGGCGGGGGACAATGGTGTGGGCATAACACTGCTTTGCCAAAGGGGCTGCCATGCCCCAGCACCGACCCAACCAAGTTCTACAAGAGAGCTTAACTCTAAGATGCCCAGAAATCCACCTCAAATCCCAAGTATAATAGAATCATTAAGGCTGGAAAAGACCACAAAAACCATTGAATTCAGTTATTGACCCATCACCACCATGCCCACTAACCCACATTCCAATTACTGCACTCTGTGCCCACCAGCTAGAGTACCTTTGGCAGGCAGAAAGTAGACCAGCACAGCCATAGAAGAGATGAGGACGCAGGGCACGATGATGTTGATGATGTAGAAGAGCGGCTTGCGTTGGATGATGAGGTAAAAGATCACCTGCTGGTACTGGATGTCATCTGGGGTGAAGTGCCCCGAGTTGATGATCTTCCGTGCAGGGCGGTGCTTGATGGCCCATTCTCCATTCTCTGCCATGCAGCAATGCCACCATTTGAGTCCCCATGTTGAAATGGCACCGGGTGGGAGGAAAGGGTCATAGCTACCATAGAGAGCTGAGCACCGAAGGGTGCTCCAGAATTCCCCTGGAAGCTGTAGGAGGGGATACCTACAGCCCTTTGGGGATGAGTTATGTGCGGGGCTGGGAGTCCCCCATCTCCCTGCCACCAGGCAGCCGTGGGGAAGCCGAGCGTGACGCTTTATTAAGGCACGTTGTTTTCCCCCGCTGTCTGCAGGAGCGATAGATTTTTCCCAATCAAGATCGCAGCTTGGGCCGGTAATGAAAAAATAAATCTCGCTGCCCAAAAAGCATTTTGTTCCTTCAATATGCAATTAAAATGTGATGGAAAACGTCATCGTTTGGCCGTGACAGATACGTTCCCAGCATCAATCAAACTGCCAGGAGCAGCTCTCCGGGAGGGACTGCCAAGTGGTGAGTGCTGCGAGCCGGGGGGGCTGGTGAAACAAATCTCTCCCCCCCTGCTCCCTCTTCCACTAATAACTTAAGTGCCTGTGTAATGGCAAGGGCTGCTAACAGCCCCCGCCCTCTGACTCTGCCTGATTTCAGCAGCCACCGGCATTGGTGCAGGCTGTGGGGCATCATAGAATGGGATGCTTGTCCTTGGAATGTTTGTCCTTGGGATGCCATGGGGAGGTCGTGCGGTTACCTGTGAAGGCTTCAGGGTCAATGAAGATCCACTCTATAGTCTGGCCTTCCTCCACTGTCAGCAGCAGGTTGATTTCATTCGCGCTGTAGGTCTGGGACCTGGAGAGGGGCAGAGGGATGGCACCAGTGAGAAAATAGCAGGGGAGGTTGGCAACCCCACCCACGACAGAGGTGTTAGAACTCAACAGTCTTTGAGATCCATTCCCCTCTAAGCTGCTCTATGAAAGTGACACTGTGTCATGCCGGTCACTCTTGTCCCTGTTGTATGGGAGTTTAACTGGGCAAACGTGCCTCTTGTCACCCATGGTTAGCCAGGTGCCAGGTCGATGGCACTCACCCATTCTAGGACTCATTGAAAGATGCCCACTCTGGAGCAAATTGGGACATCTCACATCTGTCCCTATGGGACCACCCCCAACACCACAAGCTGTGCTCACTGGAAGACCATGGTGCAGTTCTGCCAGTCAAAGGGGAAGTAAGTGACATGGATGGAGCAGGAGCTGCGGTAGATGGCGGGGGGCAGCCAGTAGATGCTGCCATCAGGGTACACCAGCACGTTGGTGTAGAGTGTGATCTCGAATGTCCCATCGATGCTGGGGGGAAAAGAACAGGTTCAACTCCAAAGTGAGGCCAACCACTTGTGGGAAAGTGTCCCTGCTGTACCCTAGCATGGCCTCACTTGTTCTCCAAGACAATGTCGGGCAGCCAAACCATGGTGGAGGGCACCCGCAGCTGCTGGATGTCATCGTATTTTTCAGGGTCCCACCGCAGGCGATAGTCAGACCATTGCTGGAGAAGGGGAGCAAAGCGTGGGAGTCATGATGCTCCCTGGGGCTGCCCCAAAAGGAGCATCCACAACAAGGAGTGTAGGTTATGGTGCCAGCCCACCACAAATTGCCATCAGGGGTGATCAGGGGGTGTCCTGCCTGAGATCTCACCATCTCGATCCAGACATTGGTGGTGAGGGTCTCCTCCCGCTCATTCTGACAGGGAAGGAAGGAGGGAGGCACCTTTAGCTCCACCATCCCATCCCACCAGCGCCACCCAGCTCCAGCAGCATCACCCCAGCACCCTAAATCCATAGTGCTGAGGGAGTCTCACCAGAGAGATGAGGTTGGTGAGGGTGAGTTTGAGGGTGACGTCAATGACCTGGTCCCCACGCAACGCTGGGCGCAGGTGGCGATTGTAGTTGGTCATCAGGTCCTGGAGCAACTTCTCCTCCTGATTCCTGCAGCTTATGCCTTAGGGTGGGGGCACCCCGGGAGGGGACGGGAAGCTTAGTGCTGCCCTTGGGGCAGTACTGATATGGCTGGGGGGCGTGCGTGGGGAGGGGTTGAATGTAAAGCCTCGGTGGTGTGCAAGCAGAGCATGGGGACAGCACACAATGCTGTGCACCCATGGGTGACAAAACCCCAGGGAAAAGGTGGTGGAAGGGGACACCAGGGACTCTTCAGCCTCCCCTCTCCCCAGAGCTGCCCCTCTCCCTGGGGTGGGCACACCTTACCTGGCAGGGCACAGAGGACGAGGAGGAGGAGATCGGAGCAGCGCATGTTGGAGCTGCAGGCGCAGGGCTGGGGCTCTGCTCAGTCGCCTGCGCACCAGCGTTCTGGGCCTGGCGCCCACTGGGATGGGACAGCTGTCCCTGATCCCATCAGCTGTTCTCAGCAGCAATGAGGGATAAGGGAGGGGTGAGTGACAACCCACGTCTCCCCTTCTGTGCTGGTGGGGGGATAGCAGTGTGCTGGGAAGAAGGGCTGGATTTGGGGTTGGGGACCAAAGGAGCTCCATGCCTCAGTTTCCCCATATCCCCTGCAGTGATATGTATAACTTCATAGCAGAAATCTGCTGCTATGTGTGCACTCTTGCAACCCCCCCCAGCCAGTGCTTTGTGTCCCCCTTAGTGGCCACTAGTGGTCCCCAGGGTGGGGAAGTCCCCAGCTCGGTCTGGGGAGCAATGCCTATCCCAAGGCTATGAGTTCCATCCAGCCCCATGTCAGTGCATTCCTGGCTTAGAGGAGAGGATGTGACAGCTGTCCTGGGCCCCCACCGGCATGGGGACATCAGCTGCGTCCCTTGAAACCGGAGCTGTGCAGGAAAGGAGGCACTCTCTGGGAGCCAGTGGGGCACTGAGCGATGGGACACTTGTGGGTCTGAATGGGGGTTGTGGGTCCCACTTAACCACCAGTTCTGCACCCCACATTGTGAAGCACCCAGCTTTATTTCTCCTAGCCACAGCAGGTAGGCAGGAAGGAGTGGAGGGGCTGCCATAAAGGACCCTACCCCCACTCTCAGGGCTGCCCTATATGTAGCGCTTGTTCTCCTCCCGGTAGTCAAAGGGGTCTCCAGAGAAGGGCAGTGGTGGTGGGTGGTTGTAGATGCCCATGAGGAAGATCCAGAGAGTGCCCACCACTAGCATGGGGGTGATGAGGAACAGGCAGAGGCGGTCCAGGGTTCGTGCCACGCGGTTCCAGTTGTCCTTCTCCTGGGGAAGGAGCCAGGAGCAGAGCATGGGGAGCCTAGGGATCCCACTCTGCCCCATCATTCCCCACTGTGCCCATGGTCCCCACCTCATTGTAGCTGTTTTTCTCCCGCATATGCTTGACAATGAAATTGGCCTCATCCAGGGTAGGTTTCAGGTGATTATAGAGCTGCTCCTCGCTTGTGGCTGCTGGTGCAAAGCCTGGGGACGGGATGACCCTGAGCTCCCAAGGACAGCAGCCACCCACCCCATATCCCCACATTCCCACAGGGGGGCTGAGGCTCACGGGCAGGGGTGACACGGCTGGACAGCCCATGCCTCTCTGACTGCTTCTCAAACATCAGCTCGCTGCGGGACTTGACACTGTAGTACTCCTCTGCCTTGGCAATGTACCCAGCCGAGCTGCAGCGTCGGATGCACGGGGCACCTGCTGGGCTCTCAGCTGGGTGTGACATGTGCAGCAAGCGGGGCAGGATCTCCAGGAACACCTGGCATAGGACATGCCACCGTGTCCCCACTTTCTGTCCTCAACTAAGCACACAGCTGCCTGCAGTAGTACAGATTGGACACCCCGGTGCCATGACGCACAGTGGCTGCCCTCCCTTGCCCATCACCCCTTCACCTCTTTGACCCAATCGGACATGATGTGAGTGCTGGGGGTGCGGAAATGGAAGTTGAGGACCACAACGCAGATCACCACCACGGCCGTCACCAACAGCATGATGAACAGAAGGTACCTGTGGGGGTGGAGAACACAGATCTGGGGCTGGTATAGTTGCAGGGGTCTGGGGAGATGCAGAGCCATTCTCTGCCACCCTGGGACTGTGAGATGTGCCCCAAAACTCACTTGCCAATGAGGGGGATGGCATGGGAGGTGGCAGGCAGGCGCTGGGAGACCAGCAGTAGGAAGACAGACTGGGCCAGGAGCACCGAGATCACCAGAGTCATCTTCTCACCACCTGGAGAGCAGAGGGAGCCGTTCCATGTCCCCCTTCCCAGTGTCCCACCCTAAATTGCTCCATATACGGCTTTATGCTCTAGGGGTAGCCTAGGGTCCCATTTGGGTTATCCCATGCCCTGCCCAGGGGTGGTTGGATGGTGTCCTGCATAGAATTGTCATAGTGCTGTGTTGGACATTGGGATATCCACATGTTCCAGGATAGGTATGGGACTTGGGTGTCCCCATGCCCAGTGTAGGTGCCACTCACTGTCAGCAGGCAGGTAGAAGACAAGGATGGCCATGAAGGCAATGAGGACACAGGGTGTGACGATGTTGATGAGGTAGAAGAGTGGCTTGCGCTTGATGATGAGGTAGAAGGTGATGTCCTGGTGCTCGCTGCTCTCAGTGGGGTAGCTGGGGTGGATGTTCTTGCGGGCCGGGCGGTGGATGATTTCCCATTCGCCATTTTCTGTTGGGACACATGGGACAGCATGGGGGATCCTGAGCCCCGTACAGGATGTCCCACCGACCCAGGACTCAGCAAGGAGCACCAGCGCTACCTGTGAAGCCTTCAGGGTCGATGATGATCCACTCCACCCGGTAATACTTTTCGGTCTCCGGGTCACTCTCTTCCTTCAGGTGCATGCTGATCTCCTGCGCATTGTATGCCAGTGAGCTGAAATGTGGTAGGATACAAGCAGTGAAGGTCTGTGACTACCGCTTTGTCCTCTCTTCCCATCCTCTGGCACAATGATTGGGAACGTGCCAGACCCCACACCTGAATTTGAGGGTGCAGTTCTGCCAATCAAAGGGGAAGAAGTTGACGTTGATGGGGCAGGCGCTGCGGAAGATGGCGGGGGGCAGCCAGTAGACATAGCCAGTGTTGTAGACCAGCACGTTGCAGTAGTAGGCGACTTCGAAGAGCCCGTCATTGCTGCATGAGAGAAACTGAGGTGATGGCAAGGGAAGGGAGAGCCCTGGGCACTGAGCACAGCTCTGGCTGAAGATGCTTGCCCAGGGAAATTGGGGAGGTGAACCAAGCTCTGCTCACTTGTTCTCCAGGACTATTTCAGGGAGCCACAGCATCTCTGGCAGCAGGCGGAGCACGTCGACACCCCCGAATTCAGATGTGTTCCACTGCAGACGGTAATCAGTCCAGCTCTGGTAGGAGACACGCTTGGGTCACCTCACCATGACCACGCCAATGACACCCCTTGCCTATGGGTTTGGCATGGGGATGACGGTACTGAGAGGGAAGAGGGGTATGGGCAGGACTTTGTCAGTGATGGCCCCAGTCCCCTCAACCCCTCCTGTCCCTACTCACTTGTTCGACCCATACGTTGGTGGTGAGTGTCTCGTCCACCTCTTTCTGCAATAACATGGGGGACACTGAGATGCCATGGCCATACCCCCTGATCAAACCAAGACCTTCAATGCAAGGCAGCCCTTGGAGTACAACTGCCCACTGGGGCTCACCAGTGAGATGAGGTTGGAGAGGGTGAGGGCCAGGTAGACATCCACAACTTCATCGGCAGAGGCAACGGGGCGCACCTCCTTGTTGTAGCCTCTCTCCTCAAAGAGGTAATGGATGAGCCGCTCCTCCTGGTTAACACAGAGCCCACCTGGGGAGCTCGAGGTCAGGCAGAGGGGTTGGGCAGAGGCAGACAGAGGCAGACAGCGTGTCAATGCCATGCAAGGACAGGGAGATGGGCACCCAGATGTGGTGCGTGTGCACAGGAATGGCACACTTATGAGGACACATATGCATGCACGGACACAAACACAGGGATATACAAACACATGGATATAGAGACATGTAGAGACAAACTAGTACAAGATGCCAGTGCAGAAGCCGTGGCATAGGGCATGGGGGTAGATGCACACATGGACATAGACTAGGACATATAAGGATACACGTGTGCTCATCTGGGACACAGACACCACCACCCCAGCCCCAACCTCACTGCAGTGACCCCCAGCATCCTTGTACCCAAACCCCACGGCTCCGCTCACCCGACAGCACCAGTGCCCCAAACAAGGCCAGCAGCACTGCCATGTCCCCCATGCGGTGCCTGCGGTGCCTTCGTGCTGTGCCAGCTCCTCGCCACCTCCCTGCTTGGCCTGCCTGAGCGGATGTCCGGCCGCAGAGATGGATGGTGCCAGGTGCTGGGGGGAAGGCTGCCGGCTCCGGATACCCACTCTGGCCCCCCTGCTTCCGGCACCCCCACGCCCAGAGAAGGGAGACAGGCAGGAACAGCTGGGCTCACCACCCCTCAGTGCCATCTTGTCACCTGAGTGCTTGGAGGAGCAGTCCCTTCACTGCTCAGCAGATGCTGCTGGGAGACGTGGAGGTGCTGGCACCTAATCAGTGCCTATGGCACATGTGGTCTGACACTGGTGTGAGCTTTGGTGAGGGTCCTCACTGGGATGGCACAGGGTGCTGTTCTCTGGGGTGAAGAGTGCTGTGAGTGGTGAGTACACAACCCCCCTCCCTTCCCTCCCCCCCCCGGTGCCAGGGGAAGGACCTAAGGATGGGGGATGTTTCTTGGGCTGGTAAGTGATGGGGGTAACACGGGTGTCACATCCTGCTGATGCCCACCTCACTGGCACCGCTCGGCACGTCACTTGTTTCATCCTCACCAGCTACCAGAAAATAGAGCCTTTCTTTATTGAAAAATAAACCTTTCTCTGTACAAATAAATAAGAGGTGTGCATGGGGAACAGGAGTCATTCCTCATCCCCTGCCAGCACCCCTAGGTTTTCAGAGCCTCAAGTGCCAAGGCCACGAGGCCAGGCATGCTGCGTGCCAGCGAGTCGCTCTCCAGCCCCACCAGCCCAGCAAAAGCCGTGGGCCGGCCGCCCACCGTGGCCCGCACCTGCGCCCGGTACAACCCCTTGGTGTTTTTGGAGCTCAGGTCCACCAGGATCTGTAGGAGGAGGAAAATGCTGTTAGCCCCACAGCTGGAGAGATATTGACATGCTGCCAATAGCCCTGCTCGCACCTCCTGGAAGGTCATGGCCAGATCTGGCTCTGGCACCTGCAGCACCCAGGCGTAGAGCTCCTGCACCACGCCAACCCGCAGTGCAGAAGCATTGAGGCCGGGGCAAGCTGCAACTGGGGGGAAATAGGAGAGAGATGGAAGGGGGGTGTCAGGGATTGTGCGGGGGCACCGTGCTGCAGCCAGCCTCAGGCTGGGGTGCAGTGCTGGGGTTGGATTTGTCACCATCCCCATAGCATCACATAGCACAGGTGCTGCAGGGTGCTTACCTCTGCCTGTGCCTGCCTCCTGCCCCTCTTCCTCCAGCCCCGGCATTGTGGGCACCAGCTCTCGTTTCTCTCTGTGCAATGCCCCTGCATGAAAACATAATTGGTGACACTCTCAGTGGGGGCGCTGCCTGGGCATGGAGCTCAGTGCTGGCTATCCCCACGCTCCACCAGTCCCATACCTAACCAGCCCCGTACCCTACCAAACCTCCCCCCCAGAGCTCACAGTTCTGCACAAGGTTCCCAACTGGCTCTCCAGTTGGCTCTCTGAGTGCCTGCATGGCCTCCAACGGTGTGTCAAGGTCCATCTCTGCCCGGAGCTGAGTGAGGAAGGCTCTGCCCTGTCCCACCAGCTCCTTCACCAGCTCCTCACCCTGCTACAGGGAAGGGGAGGGGGACAGTGCAGACAGTGGGGCACCCATGGGGTGCTGCAGGGGTATGGTCCCTGCTGGCACCATCATGGGGGCAGTGCTCCACTCAGCCCATTTCTCTGCAAGTACCTGTAAGAAGAGCCATGTCTCCTCAGGGAGCTGCTCCCCATCTGGGGTGGGTGTCAGAGTGCTGCCCCCCACTGTGGCCCTCAGAGCCTGCACCCAGTCCTGCAGCCGCGGCCCCACAGACCCAAAAAACTCCCTGAAGGTGGGCAGCTGCCTGCAAGCACAGGAGGGTGAGCTCAGGTGGGTGCCTGGTGCCACCCATCCCCTGGGCACTGCCACCTCGCATGCACCCCTGGTGGGTCTTGGGAAGAGCAAGACCCTGCTGTTGAATGCAAGAAGCCGTATCAGTGCTGACCTCCTCAAAACCTGTCCCCTCTTCTGCCACAACCCATGATGCCCACACATCCCCCTTTACCTGTGGGTTGGTCTCAGGGGTCCCTCAGATGTGGGGTGCTCGACCATCACTGGGTCTGCAGAGACAAGCAGGAGGGACAGGGTGTCAGGCGGTCCAGAGCAGGGTGTTGGTCTTCCAGCCATCAGCACAGGGGTGGCACATCCCCAGAGGGAGGCACAGTCCATGTGGGTACCTGGGGCACCTCTACGGATGCGGACAGGGAAGAGATGACCATAGATCTTGCCCAGGAGCTGGGGCAGGGTGCGGGTGAGGAAAGAGAAGTCAAGCTGGTTTCGGATGAAATCCCCAGCCCGGCGCAGGAGACCCACCAGAGTCTGGGCGTAGGAATGCAGCTCTGTGGGTTCAGCAAGAGAGCTGTGTCCCCAGCCCCATGCCAACCCAGTTCAGTCCCCCAACCCCATGCTATCACTTCATCTCACCGCATCGCCTCATCCGGGCACGGCACGTCTCATTGGCAAGGTGTGTGCAGCTGGCTTGGCCTGGGGCAGCCCGGCAGGACCCCGCATAGAAGGAGCAGAGACGGGTGTGCTCGAGGGGCTGCTGCTCAGGGGGCAGCTGGGACAGGGCCAGCAGGTCAAAGCAGCTTGGCTCCCAGCTGCCAGGAACAGCTGCAAGGGCACAGTGCTGCTGTGAGATGCTGAGCCCCCTGGGATGTCACCCCGTGCCCCATACTGGCACTCACAGTCCATCTGCAGGCTGAGCCAGTCGGCAAAGGCAGCCACGCGAGTGTAGACACCTGGCTTACCCCGCTCACCACAGCCATCACCCCACGAGGTGATGCCATACAGGACAAAGCGGTACGAGGAGGGGTCCTGACACACCAGTGGACCACCCGAGTCACCCTGGGGGGGGGATAGCTGCACATCAGGCCAAGCAGGACAGGCTGTGTGCTCACCCCATGCCCAGGGCACTGCCATGTCGTGGGTTGGCATTACCTGGCAGGAATCGATGCCCCCAGACAGATATCCAGCACAGAACATGGCGCTGGTGAGCAGCTCTCTGCCCAGAGCTGCCCGACACGTCTCCTGGCTGAGCAGGGGCACCTGTGCCTCCATCACCACCTCTGCCGACGGCCCCTCTGCCAGGCAAGGTGCCCGTTACGGGGTATCCCATGCTTGGAATGCCCACCTTTGGCTTGGTGGCTCAGCACCGAGCGCAGACCCCATGGTTGCTGGTTGGCACCTACCTTCATACAGGGACCCCCAGCCCACAATGTGACAGGGGGTGCCGGGCCTGGGCTCGGTGGTACCACTGGGCAGGCACACGGGGCTCACGGTGCCTGATGGTGCCAGTGGCTCTGCCAGCTCCAGCAGCGCCAAGTCCCCATGAAACGTCTTGGGATTGAACTGAGGGAGATGAAGGGAGTGTAAGTGAGGAGTTATGGGGAGCGTAGGAATGATCTGGAAGTGCCCACCTCTACCAACCTTGGGGTGAGGCACGATGCGTCGCACAGGCACTGCCCGCTCCCCAGGGTCCGCCTTGCCCAGCTCGTGGTCACCCACCACCACCGTCCATGCCAGCTCATTCTGGTTCCTGGCACAAAGATGGAGAGCAGCGATTTAGGCTGGGGAGACAGCAGCGCCGCCCCACACCCCCATCCCCACACCATACCCGTTGAAGCAGTGGGCAGCAGTGAGGGCCCACGTGTGGCTCACCAACACCCCACCGCACACCAGCTCCCCGTGCAGCCGCACCGACACCAGCCATGGCCAAGCCCCGCGCCGGGCCACGCTGCCGCCCATGATGCGTCCTCGTGGGGCTGTGCTGTTGATGGAGGGGTCCGCCCGGCTCCCGCAGCGCTCTGAGGGGATAAAGCTGTGAGGAGTGTGGCCGTGGAGGGAGGGGGCAGCGGGGGTAGGACGCGCTGTCACGCCTCATCGTGCTCACGGAGGCGAGCGGGCGGTGGGCCGGGGGCACCCTGCGGGCTGGCAGCTGCCGACGCTAACCTCTGCCCCCGGCACAGCGTGGGGCTGGGGGCTGTGGGGGTGGCGGGGGCTGCTGTCCCCGGCTCACCTGGCATCGTTGCTGCTATGCTGGGATCTGGGGCTGCCTTCGCCAGCACTGTGGAATGAGTTGGTGTGGTGGGTGGGGGCCATGTGTCCGCTGCCCTCAGTGTCGCACGATGTCCTTGTTGTCCCCAATGGCTCTGTGTCCCCAGTCTGTACCCCCAGTGTCCTGTCCCACTCCATATCCTCCACCCCTCAGTGTGTCTGTGCCCTCAATCTCTCCATTCCACCCCATATTGCCCTGATCCACTTCGATCCCTCTGTGATCCTTCCAGTGCTCCATCCCACTTCTGAACTCTCATTTCTCATCCCACCTCCTCCCCTGTATCATCTCCAATGCCCCATCCCCATTTCCCCATCCCTCCCAAAACCTCCATCCCACAGATCTCATCTGGACCCCAGATCCCTCCTTCATCCCCAGCTCTTTTCCTCCTAATCCCACTCATGTTCCCAATCACCCCTCAATGCCTCCACTCCCATTTTCCCATCCTAATGCTTCCAGCCCACAAATCTCACTCCACATTCCTCTTTCATTCCCAGCTCTTCTTTCCCTCATTTCACCACACAATACTCCATCCTCCAACCTCCCTCTCCCCTCTCACCCCATCACCCCCCCCAGCCTCCCCCTCCCATCCCATCCCACCCTCACTGCCCCATATGCCCTCCAGGCAATCTGATGCCTCATTTGTTATTGTAGGGTCTCCCCTTTCCAGGAGATGCCCACTCACGGCACTCCTGGAGGCGGTGCTGGCAGCGCTGGGCACTGAGCAGGGTGCAGGCAGGCTGAGTGCCCTGGGGGGGGCACAGGCGCAGGTAGGAGGCACACGCCTGGCTCAGAGCCCAGTGGCGTTGGGGCAGTTCGGGCAGATCCTGGGCATCCAGCAGGGCCTGGCAGCTGGGGGGCACGGCAAGGGGCATGGCAGGGGCTGTGGGGACAGTGAGGTTGTGGGCATCCTCATGTCCTCATTGCCCCCTGCCCACCCCTGCCTGGGTCATCCCAGGGTGGGTGGGGATGAGGCATGGTGGGGCTGTTGTGTTTTGGTAGGGTCTCCTGAGTGGGGTAGGATCTCAGGGTATGTTCTGGGGGAGTATTTGGGGTGGGAAGAAAGGGTCTGGCAATGTTTCGGGTAGGGCTTCAGTTTGGGTAGGATCTCAAGAGGATGGGGATCTGCTTGGGTAGGGTTTCCGGGCAGTGTTTCAGTAGGGTCTCTAGCAGAAAGGGCACTGTTTTGGTAAAGCCTATAGGGGTGGCAGCTATGGGGGATATTGTCTGGGTAGGATCTATAAGGGATGGGGTAGGGCTGCGGGGAGATGAGACTCACGTGGGCAGCTTCGGGTGATGTTGGCACAGGGAGGGAAGAGGCAGGGAGCACAGAGCCCACAGGCACCCCGTTGCTTCTGCTGCTCAGCCAGTGCCTGCTCCAGTGCCAGCAGCGCGCTCCTCAGTGCTGCTTCCAACACCAGCGTCCCCCGGCTCGACAGTGCTGCAGGGGGCTCACTCAGAACACTGTGACGCCCTCCCCCCCCTCAAAGCCCCCAGCCTACCACCCATGCCCCAGTATCTCCATGACAGGCATTAAGTGGGCAAAGGCTCTGGCAGTCCCATTGGCATGGCTTGGGGTGATGTCACCTCCCCATGGGGTTGGCACATGGGTGGGTGGAGGTGGCATGGATGTGATGGGGAGCTGAGCATCCTCTTTGTGCCACCCCCTAAAATAAAATAAAAGAATAATCCCAGCTCCTACAGCTCCCCCCTAAAAACCCTGCCCAAATGATGCCCCATGCCCACCGCTGGCACTGACCTTGCAGGACGCTAGCTGGCATGGGGTACAGCCCCTGGCCCATGGGAGCACCCCCAGCCAGCTGTAGGAGCAGCAGCATCACGGGGGAGGACAGGTGGACCATGGGGACAGCACCCCACATCCTCTTCCCTCCTTGCTCGATCCCAGCCAGGCAAAGGTTTTAGGGTGTGAGCCCTAAAGTGCCCGAGGCGGGCGAGGAGGCGCGGATATATACAGTGCCCCCCGGGTGGTGGGAGGAGAGAGGGGCCAGGGGAGCACAAACAGGCGAGTTCATTAATGTCGCGCCAAGATGCCAGCCCAGAGGGGGGGTCCGGGCTTGGGGACGCAGCTCGGGGCCTCAATGCTGCCTTTGTTCGACGGGGCCTCTGGGCGGGCAGCATCAGACGGGCGCTGCGCTCCGGCGCTGCCCGCGGCCCTTGATCATTTTCACGCCAATCTCGGCCCCGCCACCCTCCTTCCTCCCCAACGGTGCCCCCCGAACTCGGCCCCAGGCCCCGGGGAAGGGGCAGCTGGGAGCGAGGAAGAGGAGGGGGGGGGGGTTCCGCGGGCGGGTGGGAACGCGACGGCATTGGCGGCGGTGGCGGGTGCTTCAAAGGTGGTTGGCGGGCACCGAGATGAGGAGATGGGGGGCCCATGGAGCCGGGGGTGGCTTTGTGTCCCCGCAGCCCACGATGCCGGACAGACCCTTCCCCCCAGTGCCCGCAGCCCCAAGCTTTTGGAGGTGCCTCCTTTGCCACCCTCCCCATGTTCCATGGCCATATCACCCACTTGGGGTGCCTGTGTCCCCAAACCCACTGGGGTCTGGCAATACTAACATCCCTATCTCTGCCCACGTCTCTCTCTCGGTCCCCATTAGAGGAAGGGGTGTCCATGTTCCTGTGCCCCTATCCCCATTAGAAGAAGGGATGCCCACGTCCCCATGCCCACTTAGGGGTGCCCGCAACTCATTCCCATCCCCATTAAGGACAGGGGTGCCCCCGTGCCCACAGCCGTGTTGCACTCCCCTCCCACCCCCACCCTCCAACCCCGGTCCTAATTGTGCCAGCGGGGCGCTGACAATGCCGCTTCAGTGGCACATCAAAGGAGCGGCACTGGCGGCGTGCGAGGGCACCGCTGGCACCGGGACAGCCCCACGTGAAAGCTCCCACCTCGGCCCCCCTCTCTGCCTGCCTGGCATGGGGACACCGAAAGGACACGCTCCGGGGGGACACGGTGTCACCCCACCACTGGGAGCGTCCCCACCCCCCATCCTGCACGGCCATGCCCGTATTGTCCCCATTCGCCCCTGGGTGATGTGAGGTCATGCAACGGGGTCAGCATTTGGTACCCACAGAGGTGCTGCTCACCGGTCCCACGGTACCACTGTGCCCCCCCGCTCTCCCCCCCCCCCCCCCCAGCCTCGGTGCCGGTGCCAACCCCATTAACCTAATTGGCGCAGGCAGTGGCAGTGGGACCCCAGAGCGGGTGGGACGTTGCCCCCGAGGCCCCCAATTGTCCGATAATTGGCGTGAGCAGCCGAGCCCGGCCGCCACCATGGCGACATACCCTGGACGGGGGGGGGGAGGGACACCGCGGGACATCCTCTGGGGTGCCCACCTGGATGTGGGGGTGGCGATGATGGGGGGTCCTTTGTGGGCTGGCAAGGTGGTGGGAGACGAAGGGTCAGTCCAGGGTGTGTAGTCCGGGGGCTGGAGGGGGGCAGCTGCGGGGTGACTGCGGGTCTAAAGGGGGGTATTTGGGGCTGGAGGGTCGCCTTCGGGACTGGGGCAAAGCCAGCAGCAAAAGCCTGGCGCGGAATGGGGGCGTGGTCACGTCAGGGGGGGCGTGGCCAGTGATGGGATGCACAGGGGCGTGGTTTAATGGGAGCTCGGTGGGCGTGGTCAACAAGGGGGCGTGGCCAGGAAGAGGGCGGGGCGGCGGGCGGGGCGCGGGGGTCGGTGCAGGGGCGGCGGGCGGGGCGGCGCGGCCCGGGCCGGGGAGCGGGCGCGTTTGGGTCCGCTGCGGGCCTGGTGCAGCCGGGCCGGGTTAGGCTAGGGGCCATGGCGAGCTCGGAGCGCAGCGCGCTGCTCACCTACCGCCTGTGCGGCGGTTCCGGCGAAGACGAGCGGGGTCGGGAACGTGGCCGGGCCGCCGCCGCCGCCACCCCCCGCAAGCTGCCCACGTTCCTGGGCGTCGTGGTGCCCACGCTGCTTTCTATGTTCAGCGTCGTCCTCTTCCTGCGCCTCGGTGAGTATCTCCTGGACTCCCCGGTCCCGGGTCCTCCTTGGGCATCCCCTCTCTGTAGCCTCAGTGCCCACCCCGAGCTCCCCCTGCTGCGGACCCTTTGCCCCCCCTGGTCTGGGTCCCAGTGCCGCCCTGTGCTCCCCACTTAGCTCCCTATGTCTTCCCTGTGCCCTCCCATGAGCATCCCAGTCTGGAATCTCAGTGCTCTCTGCCAGGCCTCCTGTTTAGGGGCTCCCAGCACCTTCTGCATCCTCCAACCCCAAGCTGAAGTTCCTGTACTCCATCTAGGTCTCTCCCAGTCTGGAGTCCCAGTGCTTTATGCTCCTCAACCACACACCCCTTCAGTCTCAGGGCTCCAGTGGTACCCTCAGGGCAGGAACCCAGCACCCCTAATCTGAAGGCCCCTGTCCCTGGGACAGGATCCCTCTGCCCCCCCAAATCCCTTCTGTAAGTCAGATCCCAATGCCTTTGTGTCCCCACACGCCACAGTACCGGGATCCCACTGCTCTGAGCATCCCTCAGTGCTGCACCCCAGTGCCCTCTGTGTTCCCTATGGTGTTCCCAGGGCTGCACCCATCTGTCATGCCCCAGAATTGGACCTCTCTCCCACACTGTTGGGAAGACACACATTGGCTCCCAGTGTGGTCCCAGTTTGAGCTATAACCTTGGTACTGGGCAGTGTGGAGGACCTTGGAGGGGCATGCAGGCTGGGCCCAAACTGGGGCAGGCAGCAGCCCTTTGGAGGTACCCCGGTGTTGGGATGCCCTGGTCCATCTCAGGCAGAGGCCCAAACAGGAACAGGGAAGGCTTTTCTTCTTTTGCTTTCTGCCCGTGGAAAAGCCTTGGGCGGGAGTTGGCTGTGTGCCAGGGGGCCTGGAGGGGGCCCTGAGCCACTTCCTGTGGCTATGGGATATCCCAGCTGTGAGATGGGAGGCACAGCCCCATCCCTCATCCTTTCCCACCCCACAAGCTTTGCCCTCTAAGGCACTTCCAGCCCCACATTGAGCCCAGACCCTCACAGGAGTGGTGTTACCTATGGGAAGGGCATAGGGGAAGTTGGGGTTGGTGGGAGGGGAGCTGCCGGGAAGAGGAACTCCCACTTCGGGGGGGTCCAGGCAGCTGCCCTCCCCCTTTCCTGCACGAATCAAACATACCTCTGTGTCTCCATGACCTGGAGACCCCCAGCCCCTCCTGGCTGCACCCACTTTGTTCTCTTGTCACCTCTTATCTCTACCCCCAGCTTTTAATACTGGAATGGAGGGAGAAATCCCAGGAGGGCTCCCTGCTGCTCCCCCCACTTCCCCAAGCCCTCCCCTTGGCATCTCTGTGGCCAATCTCGTGGCTGAGATAGGGCATCTCCCACTGCTGCTGTGGGCAACCCCTTCCTGCCCACAGTCCCTCTCACTGTCTGCAGCCTAACCGTGCCTTGGGCAGGGACTTGCAGGAGTCCAAGTGTCCCACTGAACCCCCAGGGGCTGCTGGAGCTGGGCTTGGTGCCTGGCTGACAGGGACACCCTCCCTGGGCTGCTTTTGCTTCCTGGTTTGCAGTGGGCCACCCTGCTGTCTCCTCCCTCCCTGTTTGTTTGCTCTCTGGGTGTGTGGCTCTGTGGACAAAGCAGGAGGATGCCCTGAGGCTGGGGGCAGTGGCTGGGCTGGCATGCATGGGGATAGGGCAGCTCTGTGGGGTTGTTCACGACCAGTTAACTGTAGGTTGACCTTGGCAGGGTTCGTGGTGGGCCATGCTGGCTTGTACCAAGCTCTGGCCATGTTTGCGGTGGCCTACTTCATCATTGGCATGACGGTGCTGTCGGTGTGTGCCATTGCCACCAACGGTGCACTGGATGCTGGAGGAGCCTATTGTATCCTTTGCTATGTGCAGGAAATCCTGGGGGGTGCTCAGTGGCACCTGGGTGCCACAATGGGGCCGTGGGTGTGATGGGCATTAGTTTGGGTTGCTGACAGATTCCCTTGACTCCACCAAGACATGATCAGTCGTGCCCTGGGCCCGGAGTTTGGGGGCAGCATTGGGATCATGTTTTTCCTGGCCAACGTGTGTGGCAGTGCCCTCTACGTGCTGGGGCTGGTGGAGGCGGTGGTGGACAGCTTCGGGATCCCGCCAGGTAAGTTACCCCACAGCAGGGGATGTCGGGCATCCCTTCCCCAAGCAGCCCTAGCACTGTGCCTAGCACTGTGCCTGGCATAGCTTGGCCAACCCCTGGTGCCTGTACTGAGCCCTACTGATCCCCGTGTGTCTCTGCCCAGGGCAGAAAGTGGGTTCAGGCATCCACGTCCTCCCCCAGAGCTATTGGTATGAGTTGCTCTACGGCACCATCCTGCTGGCCCTGTGTCTCGTCGTGTGCCTGGTGGGTGCCTCCATCTATGCCAAAGCCACCTTCCTCATCTTCCTCATCGTGGCGGGTGTGCTGGGCACCATCCTTGTCAGCTTCTTCGCCACGCGGCCCCTCGGTGTGCCCATCCGCATGCCGCACCTCAACAGCTCGGAGACTGAGAACGGCAGCTTCACTGGCTTCTCACTTGCCACTCTGCGAGAAAACCTGGGCGGTGAGGACACTGAGGGCTTCCCATGGTCCCCATCATGGCCTTATACCTGCTGGGATGGGGAGGGGTGGCACCTGCCTCTGCATCAGCATGGGCTCAATGGAGGGTATGGGGGGCTCGTGGGCTCGTGGGGTGGTTTGTCCCATAGTGGTCCTCCTTTGGGGACGGGGGTGTTAAGGAGAGGGCACGTGGCAGATCTGTGCCAACCCAAGCAGCCCGTCACAGCCTGTGCCTCTGTGTCCTGCAGGTGGGTATGGAGTGGACTACACCACGGGGCAGATGATGAGTTTCAGCACTGTTTTCGCAGTGATGTTCAATGGCTGCACCGGCATCATGGCAGGCTCCAACATGTCAGGTAGGGAGCAGGGTGGCACTGGGATGGAGCTGGATGGTGCAGGGAGCGCTGCACCTACAGGCTGGTTACACTGCTGCTCTGCCTGCAGGGGACCTGAAGCGCCCGAGCTACTCCATCCCGCGGGGCACCATCTCTGCTGTGCTCTTCACCTACCTTGTCTACAACCTGCTGGCTTTCCTCATGTGTGCCACCTGCAACAGGTACAGCCACCGTTCCTTTCTGGAGTTATTGGTGTTGACATGAGCCAAGGTGAGTGCCACCGTGTGTGTGTCCCTCTCCAGGACCC